TTGTCTCTTTGTTTTTTTTGTCAGAGTCCATACAGGCTGGTTCAGTACTTTAGAACAAAATTGACAAGACAAATTATCCTTCTCTACTCTGTTATTACAATACAATCTGATCATTTCACTTCAAAAATTGCCACTATATGCTCTTTATGGCTAAACTCACAATCATGCTGTCTAGATATATCTTACTATATCTCTCAAACTAAATTTTTGATGCATATTTATTCCCCAGCAGAGGCCTAGAATGTTCAATAATACAACAATTGAACTACACAAAATATGATGCATATTTATTCCCCAGCAGAGGCCTAGAATGTTCAATAATACAACAATTGAACTACACAAAATATGATTCGAAAGCAGTTACGTAAACAAACCTATGACAAACTATTACTTCTAAAAATAAGTAAATTTAAAACTCGTGGTAGACTTAAACCATCTAAATCATAACACTCGCATTAAATTTAAATAGTTGTATATATCTAAAAGTAATCATTATGTTATGTTGCTTCAGGTCATTATTGAACACATTAGTTTCAACAAGATTCACAAATTTAATAAACTTTCCCAACACATACACATAATATAGTGTGTTTTTTATTTAACTGCAATCTTTTAAGCTCCTTTTCAAGAGAAATTAGTCTTAAGCATGATGGTGAGCTCCTGAAAGCTAAATAAATTGGAAAAGGTGCTGTTAAATTTATGTATTATATAGTACACAATAGCATGTCTTCCATGCACTATCTTCAGTGTGAAGTAATTCATTGTAGGTTTTGAGTTGATTTTAAGTGATTGTTTGAACACAGGTAATTTAGCTAAATGTGGTTTGTTATTTTAAGATAATTGTTAAAACAAATAAACAGGATTTTCATTGGATCTTTTATGTACCCAAAATTAAATTTTACAGATTGATATTTTTAAAAAGTGCATGAGTTCTAGAGTATCTTTATTTGATCATGGAATTTCTCCTAAATGTGAGTTTAGGTTATATGATTACTTTGAGATATGCATTATTAGCTCATTATAAACAGGTTATTTCCATTTATTACTTTGTTTTGCATGAATGTTATGTAATCAGCCTCATAATGGCTTTTTATTGTCGATTATCTTGTTTTGGATTTAGTCTCAAAAAACTTCATCAAATCGAGGCTAAAAGGGTTACATCCAAGCAGAAAAAAGAGCAGAATAAACGTGAAAACATTACATCTGAAGGTAAGTTTTATGTACTGTACTGTTTTCATTTGAATGGGTGTTTATATGGACCCTTGTTTATGCCCATCTTTAAACATGTGCAGAATTTTAGTGGTGGGAGGTCAGTTTATTTTTTTATACTTTATAAGCAGTTTCCTTTATTTCAAAATGTTATCAGATTTATAAACAAATAGTGCAGCTTTTATTGCATGGTATTTTACAAAGTAGGAAAGTCTTTTTGATACATTTATTTTATTTAATTGCTTAAAGTTAAAAAACTAGAAAAATAAAAATGACATACATTATTACTCTATATATAGATGGATATATATGTTAATAAATTTGATATCATCACAGTTCAATAAGCATAATTAATAACTTCCAGACAAAAGTAAGCTAGCTAAACAGAAAAAACTAAAAATTAACCTATAAATTAATAAAGACAATTTCACGTAACAAACTGATAAGAAGTACATAATGTCATAAATCAATATATAAGTAAATTACAGCCTATAATGAATAGAATGCACTGAAAAATAAGCTAGGAATCCTCACTATCAACAACATTTTTGGCCATTATCCTAGTAATAATTCATGAGATTCAGAGAACTTAAGAGAATGAAGTTACTCATTATTCCATATACTAAGCTAACAATGCAAAAATAATCTTCATGGGTGTAACAAATTAATAACAACATTAAAAGTTATTTCAAATATTGTAACTGAATATATTAGTGAAAGCAATTTTACAAAAAAAAGTATAGATCTTTTTTTTTATATTCCATTTCCAGAGAAGGAATAAAAATTTTTACAATAAAACAACTCTGCCCAAGTTATACAGATTGACTGTCAAATTTAAAAAAATCATTTTGGTAAAAGGGTAACAAAGTGCTTGCATTGCACAGTGTTACGTTTGGCAGTAGTTGGGATGGAGATTTGTCTGCTCGGGACTTGAGCCCAGATAGCTTTGTTAGGAGAGCATTGGCCTGTAATTGAGGATCTTGGGTTCAAACCCTGTTAAGATATCTTAATATCCTGATACATTTTACTTTGTAAATGCATCTAAGATGTTTGGAAGAAGAACCAAAAGTTGAATAATGTTAGATGTTTAGAGATGTAAAACTTTAGTAACTGGCAAGTCTTTTCTACAATTTCACTGAAGCTGCTATAGCTGATATTTAGTTTCTGGTTTTTGCTTCCTTCTGTATTCTACAGTTACTAGTTCATCTAATATATGTTCACCTCTGCTACCAAAGGTGATGGAAGTTATGTTTTCACCCGTGTGTGTGTGCTTGTCAGCAAGATTTCTTGAAAATGGCTGAATGGATTTGGATGAAAATTGGAATACATTTGAACTGTGACCCAACTTAGAAGTGATTAGTTGTTGGAGGATTGAGGTCACAGCAAGGTCATGAAAATCCAAAAAAATCCTTAGCTTTTAACATGGGGACCAATTTTTCACATTATCTTTGCTTATAACTCAGTCAAAAATGATTGGATTTTGATGAAACATGATTATTCCTCTTTATCCTGCCAAAAATGGGTTGTGTCTGTTGATAATACTGGACATACAGACACATTTTTGTATTTTTTGAGGGCTGAATATGATCAGTGCTGCAGATATGCTCCCTACTGAGTGCCCCTCTACTTTCATTAGTTTTGGTTACAACTACTTTTTATGAGTTTGATATAATACATCTTGTTCTGTTTTATCTAGGTGAGACTGCATCAGAATCTGATGTCGAAGATGATGTGGAAGAGAACTTAAAAGGTTTCACAGATCAAAACCAAGATTGGTTAATTCCAAAAGGGAAAAAAAGAAAACTCGTTGAATCTGATCATGATGAAGAGGTGTGAATTTTATTTAGAAATTGGATACTTAAAAAAACTTATTAGCATAAAGCACAGCTTAAATGATTATTTATATTTATCAAATGTATAGATATGTGATCCTGCACTAGCATCGTTTTTTTTCATGCAACTATTTTATTTAGCATCATATAGATTAAATAGTTTTTTTTCCTGATGTTTACAACTGAAACAACCTTTCAATATACATAAATGATTAATATTCTATAATATGAGACCATGGTGCAAAATCTTTCAGAATGAAGACTGACCAAACCCTGAAGGATTTAACTCTTTTGCTTTTTTTGCAAAACAGTAACCTAAGAATTCATGTGGCATTGTCTTTAAATGTCTTTGCCTGTATTTAGTTTTAATTACAAGTATCTTTTAATTAATATATGTATTTTTCAGGAGATTAATTTCAGACTGATATTTACACATTATAGTTCTTGTAATGTTGTTTTTATCCTGTTTTATGTAAACAGTTGATTACTATTATGATTGTACAAATTATATTTAATTTTTTGTGTATATTATCAATTCTGTATTTTTTACTATTAGGTTTTCTGTTATGTTTGGTGTTTTTAAACTTGTGTTTTGAATTTTTTTACCCTTAGGATTTTGAAGGACAGGACTCTGATGACGTGCTGAAGGATGAATTTGATGAGGATGAGTCAAATTCGGATAATGAAAAACAGGATGAAGAAGAAGAGGTTATTTGATTATTTTTTTTATGCAAATTTTGTTCACATACCGTTTCGATGTATTTTGAGTGGAAAAACCTTGATTAAAAAGATATCCTGTTGTATGAATGCTTCAAAGATTATTTTCAAAGTATATCTTTTGAATTGTACAGTTCCATTCAGCTATTTAAGAGTGTTCAAGTAGTGATACTGGAGTAGATACAGAAACAAAGAAGCAAGATTTTTCATTTATTGAGGACAGAAAAAAAATAGAAGATACAAGTTTGCTTAGTGAAAATTTTCATTATCAGTAAGTTAGAAATGTGCAAATTAGTTAAACTGTAGATAGTGGTGAGGTGTGTTTGTAGTAAAAGACAATGAAGCAATCTCAAAACAAAGTTTTGAAATACTTACCAACTAATTAGAGGCTTTTTGTATAGTTTCTGGTAATGTTTTTTTCATTCTTGATAATATTTTTTTGTGTTAAATCTATTTAAAAACTATAGTAACCTTCTATGACAAGATGTTGGGTAGCAAGTGTGGTAAGTTAACCTGTAACTGCATATTATTTCTGATGATGCAATTTTTTTTTTATTATTATTGAACTTGTTAAGTCTATTCTGTTCAGACCACACACAAATACAATAACTTTTATTTATTTAAAACAAATTAATAATTTTAGTTATTAGATATGAATTGATATTGACCAAAATATTTCACTACCACACCTGACAAAGATAACTGTCACCATAGTAAAAGGTGAGGGAATCTTTCACTAATAAATATTTCACATTCATACTGTGTTTGTATTATATATATATGTATAGCAGAAAATTATTTGCTTCTTTTGTCAAAAATATTAAAAGAAATATTTTAATGAATTTTAAACAAGTTCAAATTGATTGGGTATACAAAATGTAAACTTTGTGATAACAATATGAAAAACGTGTAAAGGAAAAAAAAAAAGTATCATAAGAACCATGACTTTATTGTTTTTGTTTCTATTTTTGAATCAAAATTTTGGAAATCTTACTAGCAAAACAATGAAACAAATATCTAATTTTTTATGAATCGTTTCCAACAGAAACTAGACAATATTTAAAATGTTTCTATGAAGGTTTGTGCAATTTGGTTAAGCATTTTTCACTGTGAGAGTGAAAGTAATTGAGTATCTTTGGGGCTCCGATTGATATGGAAAATGTTATATTAGCAGTAGCTCATAATTACTTCAATGAATAATGAAAAATACTATCATTCTCTTTTAACTCTTTGTAAACTGGAATATTAGGGTATACCTGACAGCTGTTTGTTGTTCAATGCCAGGGAAAGGCTTGAAAAAACTAATAAGGGTTTAGAAGGAAGTTATTATATTAATTATTGAATTTCCATTTCAGTGTATTCTTACGTATCTAGATTAGTAGACAATGTGACTTGTTTCAGTTGGAGTGATCTGTATTTAAATGTAGGTTATATAAAACAGATTTATAAGTTTGTCCTTTGTACACTTGTTTTTGTCACACAGGCTTAAATAATTTCTTCTGTCACTTCTATGTTGTGCTATTTACATGTATTTTGTGAAGAATATGTGAATTGTAGTTATGGCATTCAATGTTGTACATACAGAAGATACTAGCTCAGCTATCTTTTTTATTAAAAAGAATGTTTTAGTGTAAGAAATACCTACCTTAAAAATTTTAATTGAACATAATATGTGGCTGGATCTGAATCTAACTTTTGTATGAAATATGTTTTTGTTCTATTTGAGGGGAAAATTTTTTTTATTTTTTTATTATTTTTAGTTACTTCCTGTTGAGAAAGCTTCCAAAAAACTACAGAAAAAGCAGAAAGAAATGAGGTAAGTTTAGGTTTGAGTTATTTTCCTTTAGTGCTGAAAATTATAAATCATGCATATGATGGCATCTAGAAATTATTAAATTATTAGTTTTTTAATAAAATATGATCAAGTTAATGGGCTTAAACCTATATTTGCTGATGTTGTACCTGTATTAGATGTTTGTGAGTTTGAATAACTGTTGTTTTTCAATTTGTTTTAATCTTTTTTTATATTTATTTGAAGGAAATTGGCAGAAGAAGAACTAAAAACAAACATTGCTGAAAGTGAAACCTATGTCCTACCTAGTGGACAGGAAATAGAAAAGGAAAATATCCTTTTTTATTTTTAGCATTTGCACATAAATTCACTGTTTTATGCATTAAATTTTCTTGTTTTTTTTTTTTTCATACAAGTTACTCTACCCCCTCAATTTGTGCATAACAGTTTTCTTTAGTACAATTTGTTTTAATCTATGACACTTATGATTTCACTATCAGATTAGTCCAAGACATGTTTAACTCTTTTTTTTTCTTCTTTTTTTCCACATTTTGACCAGCTTTGTAACCAGTGTTCCCTCTAAGCTGTGCGGCCACTCAACAAACAATGAAGTGCAGCACACTTCATTATTCCAGCTGTGCACATCCTTAATAATGGTGAGGAGTTTCAACATGTTGACGGCCTTAATGATCCTGGCGGTTGATAGGCCTAAAGCCCAAATAACCAACTAGCATAAAAATACCCCCCCCCTAAAAGAAACTGGTAGTGCACATTTGCATATTGCCTTGATACTGGTGCACATGAAAAAATTCATTCCACACATGAATTGAAAAAATTAGAGGGAACATTGTTTGTAACTATGAAAGTATCCATACTATAACTTTTAATATGGTATGTATATCTTCATGAAATATAGCAAGCTTTTATTGTACATTACAAGTCTTTTGTACACAAAAAATCAGATTTATTAATTAACTATTTTTACTAAATATCTGTTCATGAATATGTGGAGTCAGAGTGTTCATTGTTCTGAGTGCACTTTTTTTCATCTGAACATTTTCAAATTTCATTTTTATAACCTCTAAAACCTCCTAAATAAATATCAATTATTTTTTGTTGTTGTTTTTTCAGTTAAACTGTCTGTTTTATCAATTATTTTCTCTAACCAAACTCGGTCAATTTGACTGATTTTGTAACCACCATAAAAAATATGAAATAAAGCTAAATTACACTGTTTTTCTTTCTAAAATGACTTCAATGTGTAACAGGAAACTGCATTTGTGTATTCCAAATAGTTTAAGGCTGGGTACCTTTTACAAATTGCCAGTAATTCTCTCTGATGTTTTATATAATTTATAACTAATAGAAAGACAAGGTTTTGATCTATCAAATGACGTTTTATGTTGTTTTCAGTACAGAGTATTGCAAATTTTGTTTTCAGTTTCTCTTGCAGTGTTCAGATCAAGAAGCTTAGAGAATTATCTTAAGGCTCTTATGTCATAGTGAGAAAGCCATTTAAATTATAAGATTTTGTTTTCTTTGTGTGTGTGTGTTATCATTTTTGTTCTTAGGTGCATTATTTAAGTAAATACAAATTATTTAGTGTACTAGTACCATCAGTATAAAAAAGTAGGCTTAAGTTCTTGTTTTTCATGTATATTTTTTATTTATTGCTATAAAAGTATCTAAAATATATAAACATATTGGGTTAGATAAGGTAAGATTATAAATAATAATTCTCCATGAAGTATGCTTGCTAGTAGCTCATGCATTACATCATTCAATAAAATGACTTGAGCAACACATGTGCCAAGTGATTTACAACTTGTATGGCAAAATTATTAGTTCAACATGGTTCATAGGGCAATAAAACAATAAAATTAAGTAGAAACAGATGTATACTGTAACCCACCCAGGTATGTCTGACTTTCTAGTTTATGTCTCCATAATCAAAGAAGATTGAAGGCTATAAAAATTATGCTTTGTCTTTGTAATATCTATAATATAACAAGTAAGTTACTTTAGACTCCATACTTCAGGGAGGGATAGTAAATAAATTAGAGAACGGGCAAGACTTAGAAACAAATATCATGATTCTCATACAGAGATGAAGAATTTACTTAACTATCTCCTTTTAAAATTAAGAAATTAAAACTTATATAATACTAAAATTTGATTTATTAAGCATGTTTTGATGCCAGGTTTATTTGTATACATTGATAATAAAGTAGTTTAATTAAGTTTTGAATGTAACTGTAAAAAGTTGTGATGTGTGCACTTTAACCTACCAGTAGCAAGAGGGTTAAATGCCTTGAGCATTAGCTTTTACATAAAGGGCCTTTTTTAATATATATTTTGTGAGTTTTAAGCCATGAGTAATTAGGTCTAACTCTTAAAATGTATTGCAGGTATCCAACTTTGTTTTGTGTTGTGATTTGGAATTTTAAGATTTTTTTTATGCGAGAGGAACTTATCATACTGAATTTTAACACTACTTGATAAACTTTGAAAGATTTTAGTGCTAAGGCTGGGTTCAATATAAATGTTATAGTGAAAGGGGATTTTATTTTCTGTAGATCAGCCATATAAAATGCGGCAAACAAAAAAAAGTACACTAGTCGTGTTGAAGGTGTGGGTAAATGGATATAATTTTTTAACTTATGATGCATCAATAAAATAAGATGCATTTCTTATATCTTTATATCAGTTTTTTATAATAGTTAGGACATGTAAAGAAATGTTTGACATATGAATGCAATCATTAATTGTTGTTTTGCCTATTAGAATGCTAGCTTGGGATGCTATGTAGATATAGTATTAAAAACGATTCTCTGGTGTGTTTTATTCATGCTAAGAATACTTTTAAAAGTTGATATTATTGTTATTATATTGTTATCATTTTTTAAGAAACTCATTCAGTTCTTAGAAAAAAGATCTAAAGCCAGCAGTTTTCCAGTGATATCAAAGCTCAATAAGTGAATCAAGAATGGGCATCAACTTTTCTAGCTTCGTATAGATTACCAATAATTTGAAGGATGTTATATGTTCAAGTAGATTTCTGATTGTGTGAATGAGTTGAAGGAAATAAGTACTAGCTAAAGAGTTCAAAGAATATAAATGTCTAGTTATTGAAAAGGTTCAAAAGGCTTATTGTTCATTTATTAAGAATTAATAACACCTTTTTGTACACACTGAATAATTTGTAGAAAAAATTGTTATGTATGGAATATAATACCCTTAATAGATATTTACCAGCTCAATCTCCAGATCTGGCTGTCATCAGTCAAAGAATTAAGGATATAGTTCATGTGCTTTCAGATTTTGCTAGTAGAAGAGAAGATGGAAGGTATGTTTTCAGATTAGTATTATTATTATATTATGAATAATTTTGTCTGAAAAAAGGGTAAAATTTATAATTTTAATTGAATGACGTGTTTCTGATTTTTTTTAGAATCTTTTTCTTTTGTGTGTATGTGGTTCTCAAACAGATTATAACTCCAGCAACATTTTTGGTTTCAAATGTTTGATTAAATTTTGTAGTTTCTGTTTGGAATACTGTGAATTGTTAAATTACTAGCAGTGATCTGCAAAACGTTTGCTGTCAAATTAGTATCTTAATTGTAATAGTATTGCTTTAAATACAAGATTTGTAGAATAGTACAAACAAAATGTAATCATAGATACTGAAATGTGTAAGTGCACTTGTATTAGGTTGTACTTTATAAAACCTTAATTAATGTTAGGCCTGAGTTTGATAACGAGATAAATTAACACTGTACTGTGTACGATTTTTTCCATAAGCGTAGTTAGGACTGAACTATATTGTACTTAATACTATCGATAAATTAACTTATAATGTTATTCTAGGATCTAACGTCAGACATTTTTGAAAACTTCAAGCATTTAATATTGTTGTTCTAAATGGTTAATAATGAATATTTACATCCACCTTTCTTTGTTCTTCCTTCACTGATAGAGCAGTTGTACTAACTTGTTCATTGAGCTTTCCAGCTCTCTGGTGTAGGCAGGCAATTAGTACTTGCACTGTTTTTCTGGAAAAGATTCTTACTGCGCATGCTTTTAAGGTGTACCGACAGCAGAATTATAGTATAACAAGATTTTGGTGTCTGCGATTAGAATTCTTTTGTATTATTCTAGAAATTTGTATTTCGAGAAGTATTGTTGCAATAAAGAAACTAATCTGAGTACGAATGTCTTGCAGGTCTCTGCTAGTCTATTATAATAATACTCCATTTTTGTCTGTCATGATAATGCGTGCACATACCTTACTATCTAAATATGCATGCGCACACACGTCATTTCTGTGACAAACACATAAACAAGCATATTATTATATAGATTGTGTGCTTCTACAAACCAGCTGAAATATTTCAAGTGTTATTTAGACATCACATGGGCTTCACCAGACATTTTGAATAGTGTTTAAAAGTCTTTTCAGTGGTTTGCCCCCCAGTAGCATAGTGGTATGTCTTCAAACTTATACCGCTAGAGACCAGGTTTTGATACCTGAGGTGGGCAGAGCACAGATAGCCCTTTGTGTTTAATAACAAACAAACTTTTCAGTGGTTTTGGCTAGGTTTACAATAGAATGATGGTTATATCTCAAGTTCTAGTGCGAAGTAAAAATGATGAATTTTTGAAACTGTTATTGTATGGATGTCACATAGAACCCAAGTACTGAGCATGTTTTCCATTACTACTGTATATGAAATGAAACTTAAAAGCATGGAACAGTACCTCCAACTATATTAATTAACAATTATTAAAACATCATATGAAGTAATTGTTACTTTCCTAGATCAAGAAATGACTATGTGGATTTCTTAAGAAAAGACTTGTGTCTTTACTATGGTTACAATGACTTCATGATGGAGAAGTTGATGGAACTCTTCCCTACGGCGGAGGTAATTGTTGTTTAACTTCTATCCCTCCATGTTTTTTCTGTTGAAGTATGCATGTCACAGTTTAAGATGTATATTACCAAAATTGTCTAAGCCTACATTAATAAGACTTGATGGTTTGCTACATCTGTTTATAAGTTGTTTTCCATTTCTTTGTTTCTACTTACTTTGATATGCTGAGTCTAATATTCTATCTGGTTTCCAAGATTACATTATACAATGAGCAGGCATTATATGATACAGAAAAGTGAACACGCTTATGAGCTCTGTAGTTTTATTCATTTTTAAACTTCTTTTAAAAAAATGATAGTTTTTTTTTATCACTTACAAATTATAATTTGACCAAACACTGACCATCTAATTATTTCTTTACAGCAAATTCAAAACATGTTTTTTATTTTCATGTTGTAGATGCATTTGTTTGTTATTTTGATTTCTTTTATTCTTTCCTCACTACACAGTTGATTGAAGTGCTTGAAGCTAATGAAGTTCAAAGGCCTGTCACCATCCGGACCAACACGTTGAAAACCCGAAGAAGGGACTTGGCACAGGTACTTATAAGTTAAAAACCAAAATTGTGATGTACAATGTTTTGTGTAGATACATACTGATGTATTGTTTATTTATGAAAGTGTCTAACAACAATTTTCATGTGGGGAAAGTGTGATCCAATGGAAAAATGTTTTTGGTTCTAAAGAAAAAAAAAGTACCATTTGGAAGTTATATTGTGGGTTGAGCCCTTGGTACAGTTCTGAATATCAGAATTGGTAAGCCAGGTTTTAAACTGTGCAGCACTGCAAAATATTTACTGCACTTTAAAGTGTGGGTGCATTATAAGAGTAAAAGTAATCCCTTAGTTTGCCTGGTGGGTGGTATGGTGTTTTTGTAGCTTTGCCGTAATAACAAAAATTATGCAAACTTGTCAGAAAAAGACATTTTCCTCACATCTTGATAATCATGGATGCTGTCGTCATTACAGATGTTTTTAATTCTTACATTTTCCCCATTTTTTAGACATTACCTTATTCAGTATAGATAAGTGGCTTAAGAATAATCATAAACATTGTTAAAATGTTAAAAACTAAATTAAATATTAATGTAAAATTAAACAAAAGTTATAAAATAAGGTAATATAAAAAGACTATCACAAGAATGTGGAAATAGGTATTTTATGCTTGTGTAGATTAATATTTATAATTGAATAATCTAAGTCAGTTATCAGTAATATATCACAACATATTTGCAGATGCACTTATTTGGTTGTTACCATTCAAGAATAGGATTATTGTTATTTAATTTTACTTTATGTTCATAAATTTTATTGAGTAGTGATTTATCAATTTTTTAGAAACATGTGAACTTTATATATTTAATCACACGCATCACCTGATTTCAAAGGAAAAGTTTTGTTATTTATTAATTTTTGTAGACAGATAATATTATGTATTTAATAACATGCATCACCTTACTCTTTTATCAACAAATAGTGGGATTGACCATCACATTATAATGCCCCACCAGCTGAAAGAGCGAGCATGTTTGGTGTGACAGGGATTCGAACCTGCGACCCGCAGCAGACTGCGAGTCGAGTGCCCTAACCACCTGGCCATGCCGAGCCCTGGTCATTATGCAACAGACTACTAAAACATTAAAATGACACACTAAATAACGATGTGTCCCAAAAATATTTTGATTTAAAATCGCCCAAGAGTTGGCGGTGGGTGGTGATGACTAGCTGCCTTCCCTCTAGTCTTACACTGCTAAATTAGGGACGGCTAGCACGAAATTCAAAAACAAACAAACATAATGACCAGACTTTAATCAGTGTGAGCTATGGAATATTTTAATGCTTTTCAGAAACATCTTATAATTGCTGAAGATTCTACAATTATTTCTTTTTTTTGTTCCCAAATATAATATAAAAAATGAAGTCTAATCATACTTCTAGAACTATACAGTTGCAGCTTTTCAAACTTACTTGAAATGTATATTGTTGGTTACATGGTATTTAAAGCAGATTTTGTATCCCAGATTTTATTTGTGTTATTAAATACTTGAACACAAATTTTTAAGTTATAAAAGATTTAATATGCTGGTAAGTATTTTTAAACATGTAGTTTTTAGCAAACAAAAACTATTTTATTCATCCAGGCCTTGATCAATCGTAGTGTAAACTTGGATCCTGTTGGAAAGTGGTCTAAAGTAGGATTAGTGATTTATGACTCTCAGGTGCCTATAGGTAAGACTTACAAAGTTTTATTATTATCTTTCGGGTCTTTCTGGTTATTTGCTATAAAATATGGTACCATAAATAATTTCCTGAAAAATTTTGGAACTGCAAAAGATAGGAAATCTTTTTCTTTATAACTATGAAGAAGTGAGGGGGGGGGCAGTTTTAGAATTTTTGTGAATTTTACAGCCCTTTAACTTGAGTAAAATATCTTTAGACCCCATTTGTGACTGTAAATGAAATTTTGAGAAGCATTTTTTCCCCCTCGTTTGTTGTTCTGAAAGTATTACCTTTTTTTACATTTTTATGTCAAAATCATATGCATTGTCTTTTTAAACACATTTTTCAAAACTGTTTTTATATAAAATTGCTTGTTGGTCCATGATGTTTTACAATTTTTCTAATTCTTTATTCAGCATAAACACACTTAACCTGATTTCTTCATCAGTTACTGCCTAAAATTTGTTAATAAAAAGAAAGATAAAATAATATAATGAGTATCATAAACCTAACTGCTGTGCATGAAGTAGTCACATATTTATCTGTCAACCAATACTTGATTAGGTCATTTGTTATTTATGTAATGATCAATATAGGGCAGGATATTTTGGGTCCCATTACTAAATACTTTGAAGACAATCTTCTGATTTTAAGGGACAGTTGGTTTTTTCCTTCAGATCTAATATGAATAAAGTTCTTAAATAACTGGTTTGTGATTTTACTTTCAGTCATCAAACCTAATGTTGACTGATACTCATGACAACAAATAAAATTATTCAGAAAATATGGTTTAATGTTGGTAGGTGTTATTGTACAAGAAAACTTACAAACATTAAAATATAAAAGTTTTATTGGCCCATAAGGTTTCCAGTTCTCTGAAAAGTTCTATGTTAGGTGAAGCTAACAGTAAGCTTAAGAAACGTTTAAAAATAATGGAATGTAAATGTGTGGGAAAACCATAAGATGTTCAACATTGTTAATGTGCACAACAATGTGAGCGTTCTCAGTGACAATATGAGTGTGAGTCTTTGTTTTTTGGCATTGTGATGTATGTTCAATAAATATTATTTGATTTTTGTTACAAGCTAGAGGAATTTTCAGCTTTGGCTAAAGAACTGTATTGGTGAGAAAGATGCAAGGTCTTGTCAGTTGTTATTAAAGTGAAAGTGAAGTTAGGAAGAGATGAGGAATACTTAGAGGACTGTAAATGATGAAGGATTTGTTATTGCTTTGCTCAGTCATTTATAATTTCTTTTAATGGCATGTTTCATGGTCTTTTTTTTTGCTTGAATAAGAGTTGTTCAATACCTCAGGTGTTAGTCAGAGAATGCCAGGAAAGTTCAAATTCACTGTCACAGCTGAATATCAAACACTTAAGCTAATTGTCTGCTAGAATACCTGCAAAATATTTAACAATGATATTCAAAGTATGCACCAAAAGAAAAAGAGGGAAAAGTTAAAAAATCTTTTTCTTACTTGCATTTCACTTTATGTGTTATTGGTAGAACATTTTTGTGCAGCTGTTACAGCATTTCTTATAAAATGTGATAAAACATCAATTACGTAATTTTGGTGGAGTTAAATTTTTAATGAGATCGGTAAATTAAGTCCTTGTAAGTGACAGTTTGTTTCTGCAAAGTCCTGGATCTTATTTTAGCCTCATTCTCTGTGAATCATGTGTAAAGTACACTTCCTAAATTGTGTGGCTCTCTGTCAAACAAGTTGATAGCTTATATTTAAATAAGCATGTTATATCATGATTTGAATTTATAGGTCTAAAAATATAAATCCTTCTACAAGTGTAAAACAAGTTATTAGTTTTTTCTGCAACAATCTCAGTCTATTAACTTCTTGAACTTGAGTGGATGCTGCCAGCGTCTGGCCGAAAATCTCAACTTACCCAGCATCTGATAACATTTATATCTCTCTGGCTGAAAACTAATCCAAACCATATTATTATTATTCACAAAATTAAGAAAATTTAAATTTTATAAGGTATGGTGATAATTATTAGGAAATCATGAAAATAATTCGTGAAAAATTACAGGTTTGAAAGAGTTAAGTTACAATTTTTTTACTCTTATGTAATCAATAAACCAGATTCAGTTTTCTCAGGTAAAAAGTAATAATTGTATATTAATGACTTAATCTTGTCTATTTTTGCAATAATTAAAGTTTTTGAAATGTTACGAATACAATAATTATACATTCATGAGTTAATTCTTTTGCTATAATTTTATTTATTTCTATTACTAAAATGCTCTGAGCACATGTTTTTCTGAAAGTTTTTAATCGGCTTACCTGACAGTCTTCTGTTGGTTCTTAGAATAAATTCTAAAATTTTATTGCATTGTTTTTGTATATTTTATTTAAGTTGATTTTTTATGTTTTGAAGGTGCAACCCCAGAGTATTTAGCTGGTCATTACATCCTCCAGGGGGCAGCATCACTACTTCCAGTGATGGCCCTGGCTCCACAAGTAAATGAGAAGGTTCTTGACATGTGTGCAGCCCCTGGTGGTAAAACCACTCATATAGGTGGGTTTATTTATTAACTACCTCTGTAATATTTTTGTGTAACTTAGTATTTTTATTTAACATTTCAAGTGGCTAGGTGCCGATCCTGCATAAGTTTTGTTCTTTTTTTAACAAACAACATTAAAACAGTTGGTACAATTATCAGCTATTAACATATCTGTTACAATGCAACAGAAATGGTTAATAACTGCCTAACTACCACATACCAACTTTACCCACTGAAAGAGTGAATTGAAACATGAGTGAATTCTTATCAAACAGGGTATTGCTGAGAATATAGTGCTTTCTTTTATATGAAAAGTCTGTTTTTCAGTCTCGATGTTCTGGTGGATACATGCTTGACATGAAATTGGAACCAAGCATGGGGAAATAAACTTTTATTTAATCAGACATGTTATTGGAAACCCTGATGAAAGAGAACAGTCGAGGGGGGTGTAAATAAACAACTTTTCTTTCTGATACGGGGTGATAACACCTTATGATGAAACCAAGCCACTGTTTGCTTGTATTGATGAGGGGAGTTAACACCATATGATGAAACCTGAAACCAAGCCACTGTTTGCCTGCATTGATGAGGGGAGTTAACACCATATTTTGAAATCAAGCCACTATTTGCTTGTACTGATAACGGGAGTTAACTATATATAATGAAACCAAGATACTATTTGCCTGTATTGATAAGGGAAGTTAACTGTATGATGAAACGAATATACTATTTGTCTGTATTGATAAGGGGGGTTAACTCCATATGATGAAACCAAGCTACTAATCTCCTGTACTGATGAGAGGCGGTAACTGTCTGTGATGAAGCCAAGCCAATGTTTGCATGTATTAACAAGGGGAGGTAACTGTCTCTGATGAAGCCAAGCCAATGTTTGCATGTATTAACAAGGGGAGGTAACTGTATGATGAAGCCAAGCCAATGTTTGCATGTATTAACAAGGGGAGGTAACTGTATGATGAAGCCAAGCCAATGTTTGCATGTATTAACAAGGGGAGGTAACTGTCTATGATGAAGCCAAGCCAATGTTTGCATGTATTAACAAGGGGAGATAACTGTCT